CCAGGCCTCACTGTTGTGGGCATCTGGAGAGTGAACCAGCAGATGAAAGATCTCTGTCTCTCTGCTTTTCAAATTAAATGAAAATAAATAAAAAGTAAGAAACAAGTTAGGTGCTGCTGCCAGTCATAATTTCATTATTATTAGTTTTTACCTTCACTTTAATTTTTTTCCTTAGCTTCTTGTGTTTTTGCTTTTTTTTTTTTTTTTTTAAGATTGTGTTTATTTGTTTGAGAGGCAAGATTACAGACAGAGAGGAAGAGACAGAAAGGTCTTCCATCCACTGGTTCACTCCCCAAATGGCCACAATGGCTGGAGCTGGACAGATCTGAACCCAGGAGCCAGGAGCTGCTTTCAGGACTCCCATGTGGGTGGAGGGGCCCAAGTACTTGGCCCAACTTCTGTTGTTTTCCCAGGCACATTAGCAGGAAACCGGATTGAAAGAGTCGAAGTCAGGACTTGAACTTGTGTCTGTATGGGATGCCAGCACTGCAAGGGGAGATTTAGCCTACTATTCCACAGCACCGACCCCATTTCCTTAGCTCCTGATATGCACATCTCCCATTCTATCACAACTCTTTCTCTTCTTCCCCTACCCCACTCCTCTGCCCTCTTCCCTCTCACCTTTCCATCAAGAATTGCCAGGGGGCCCGTGCTGTGGTACAGCCGGTAAAGCGCTGCCTGCAGTGCCAGCATCCCATATGGGCGCTGGTTCGAGTCGTGGCCGCTCCACTTCCAATCCAGCTCTCTGCTATGGCCTGGGAAAGCAGTAGAAGATGACACAAGTCCTTGGGCTCCTGCACCTGTGTGGGAGACCCGGAAGAGGCTCCTGGCTCCTGGCTTCAGATCAGCACAGCTCCGGCCATTACAGCAATTTGGGGAGTGAACCAGCAGATGGAAGACCCCTTTCTCTTCCTCTGCCTTTCAAATAAATAAATAAATCTTCAAAAAATAAAAAGAATTGCCAGTTCTTCTAGTGGACAGTAAATTACTGTTTTTCCTAAGGTTTTTTTTGTTGTTGTTGTTGCTTTTTGTTTTGTTTTTGGTAATTTAAAAGGCAGAGTAACATAGTGGGGGTGTGGGTAGGGAGAGGGAGAGAGTCATCCATCTACTGGTTCACTCCTCAAATGCCTGCAGTAACCAGGGCTGGGCCAGGCCAAAGCCAGGAACCAGGAATCCCATCTAGCTCTCCCACAAGAGGAGTGGGAACCCAAGTACTTGGGCCATCATCTGCTGTCTGTCTACCAGGCGCATTAGTAGGAATCTGGATTAGAAATGGGACTCAATCCCAGACACTTAGAAATGGTATGCAGGATTCCCAAGAGGCAGCCTAACCCTGCTGTGCTGTAACACCTGCCCCACTAATACTGTTTTTAATACTCCATAGACCTCTGTGTATAAAACTGAACACATGCAGTCATTGTGTCTGTTGAGTGTTCCCCATGTCACCTCTGAGCTAGAATGTGAAAGGTATTTGTGCATTCAGAACAACTATTTCCTCAGGAAGATTTTATGATATAAGTTAAGAAAACTATTACATGGATTTTTTAAAATAAATTGGAAATTTAGCATGCTTAATATTAGAAATTCATTTTTAAAATCTCTTATTTTATTTATCTAAAAGGCAGAGCAAGATATATACATAGAGAAAGAGAGAGAGTGCTTGTATCTGCTGATTCACTCCCCAGATGTCTGCAACAGCTGGGGTTGGGTTAAGATGAACTCAATCTGGGTCTTGTATGGTTGTGGTAAGGACCCAACTATTTGAGCCATCACCTGTTACCTGCCAAGGTGTTCATTAACAGGAAGCCAGAATCTGGAGTGGAGCCGGGACTTCGCACACCCCATGAGTTAATTTTTTATGTTTTCTGGATAGTTATTTTCTGTAAAGAATTTAATTCTTTTGTTTTATTGGGACCTGGAGGAATTTTATAGAGAAAGATTAATAAAGTAGTATGACTCTTTGTACAGTTGCATACCCTTAAAGGATAAAGTTTGAAACAGATACAAGTATATAGTTATTTTTCTGAGAGGATGCAATGGAAACTCCATCAAAATAATGTTAGTTTGGTGTATACTTATTTTGTTCCTTCTGTTTTTAAACTGATAACATTGAGTGGGAGGTAATTTGTGAATTAACAGTAGACAGAGTTATAAACATTTAACTTAGTGAGTGTTCCCTGCAATTACTGACTGGTGTATAGTGCTTCTTCATTCCTTACCCACCTGAAAGCCATCCAATTCCATGCCCCCCAAACCAGTTCCCTTTGAATTAATAGCACCACTTGGTGGCCAAATCTAGAAATTATGTAAAACATTAACATCTCTTCCACAATAGCATGTTAACCCCCATGAGGACATGTCTGAGCTATAGTTTGACAAACCCAGTCTGGGCCAGATCTGTTATACTTTCAGAGAATCTAGCTCTTTGAGGAAAGTTAAAGTTCTGAATCAAGAAATACAAACAAAGAAACAAAAATACATTTAGGTTGATATACTTTTTTTCTTATTTTAAAATTGGTTTATTTTAATGCTTTAATTTTTTAAAAAATTAATGTTTTTAACTTTTAAAGTTTTTTAAAAATTAAAGCATTGAAATATATTTCAAAAATATATAATTCTAAAAATTCAGAAATTATTTCAATTAAAACATTTTCTAAGGAAAATACATCATTAAAATTGTCATAAACATTTAAAATTCTAATGAGATTAAAATTAGAGGAACCAACATTTAACCTTTTTAATGCCTTTTTTTTACTCAAGTGTTTATTTTGAACAAGAAAAAGAATTAAGTAAAATTATACTGAACATTACAATTCAAAAGATGAATACCATTCTAGAAAAAAAGTGCCAAATGTCTGTAAAGCCAACAAAGTTTGGCTTATAGATAACAGAATTTCATGTAAAAATTTTTTGTCATTTGTAGAGAATACAAATGTTTATTTCTTATTATCCTAAAATTTATCATTGTAGACTAGACAACTATTTTCCTAAATTCTGAAATATATCATTTGATTTGATGATAATGAGTTTAGGAAATTAAGTGTTGACAGCTGCATTGTGAAAATCAAACAGACTTGGAGTTCACCATAATTTTGAGTGGGAATGTAGCTAAGTACGTTAAATGTGACTGTTCTGGTTCTTTTTAAGTAGGCTACAGAGCTGTAGATTTGCAGAGATAGGAAAGGACTTACAATACAACATGATGGCATAGAAATAACTGCTGCAGGATGCCCAAATAAGATTCATAGCAAAGTATGAGATGGACTATTGTTATACAAAGGATATTCTTCAGTCTAAGGGGTGTTAAAATGTATATAATGATAAAAGGAATAATTTAACATATCTGGAGGATTAGGTTGAGGAATCTGAAAATAATTTTGTCCTTGGTAATTCTAGAAATTCTGGGAGTCATACATTAGATGAGTATATTCTCTGAATTTCTGACTGAAGGAACTGCTCTTAATAAGAGGACTTTTGGAATTGACCTAATAGAACATGTGTGACCTTGGGAGGAAGAATGTCTTGTGAGGGTTCGCACTTCAGTATCTCCTTTAAGAAAAGAAAAATGGGGCCAGTGCTGTGGCGCAGTGGGTTGATGCCCTGGCCTGCAGCGACAGCATCCCATATGGTCACTGGTTTGAGTCCTAGCTACTCCACTTCTGATCTAGCTCCCTGCTAATGTGCCTGGTGGAAAGCATTGAGGATGGCCTAGTCTTTGGGCCCCTACACCTACGTAGGAGTCGCAGAAGAAGCTCGTGGCTTCTGGCTTTGGGTCAGCTCAGTTCCGGCCATTGCAGCCATTTGGGGAGTGAACCAGCGGATGGAAGATCTGTCTCTCTCTGTGTCTCAATCTGTCTCTGTAACTCTGTCTTTCAAATAAATAAATCTTAAAAAAAATAGGTTATGAATAACTGGTGGGCTTTTATGATGAAGAAAATTGAAAAAGATAAAGTAATGATAGGAGTCATTTTGGCTAAATGGTCCAGTAAAATGAATATGTAAAGACATTGGAAACCTCATGCTCAAGGAAACTAACATCTTAACACTTTCACCAAGTTACCCAATGATTTACTTCTGCGGGCAGGCCTTTTCTGGTGCTTGCATTGACAGAAAAAGTTTGAGACTATTAGAAGGAATCACTATGCCTTGCTCCATCAATAACCCTAGCAGTTGAGGCAGGGGTTATGGCTGGTAGGTTAAGCTGCTTCATCAGAGGCCTGCATACGATATTAAGTACCTGGGCACTAGTCCCATCTCCCCTTCTGATCCAGTTTTCTGCTAATTTGTACCCTGGAAGGCAGCAGATGATGGCTCAAGTACTTTGTTCAGTCCCAGCTGTTGTGGACATTTGGGAAGTGAACAAGCAGACGGAAGATTCATTCTGTTTCTCTGCTTTTCAAACTAATTAATTAATTAATAATAAATAAGTAATCCCAGCAATCACAGGAAGATCTTGAAGCTTTTTATAAAAATCTATTTATTTTGAAAGTTAGAATTCGAGAGGAAGGAAGAGAGAGAGAGAGAGAGAGAATGAATCTTCCATCCTCTGGTTCACTCCCTAGATGCCTGGACGCAACAATGGCCAGGGCTGGGCCAGGCTGAACCAGGAGCTTTTTCTGGGTCTCCCATGTGGGTGGCAGGAGCCAAAACACTTGGGCCATCTTCTGCTGATTGTCCCAGGCCATTAACAGGGAGCTGGATTGGAAGTGGAGCAGCCAGGATATGAACCGGTGCCCATATAAGATGCCAGCATCAGGGCTGGTGCTGTGGCATAGTGGGTAAAGCCGCTGCCTGCAGTGCCTGCATCCCATATGGGCGCTGGTTCGAGACCTGACTACTCCGCTTCCCATCCAGCTCTCTGCTATGGCCTGGGAAAGCAGTAGAAGATGGCCCAAGCCCTTGAGTCCCTGCACCCACATGGGAGGACCTGGAGGAAGCTCCTGGCTCCTGGCTTCGGATCTGTGCAGCTCTGGCCTTGGGATTCCCTATTTCTGAAAGATAATATGCGAACATAAAATTCAAGGAAGCTCTGGATATTTCTTCATATGAAAAAATGCTGACTCTCCTTATAAGATAGGACATACTGCACTGATGTGGTTAAATCTCAGTGGCCTGCATGGGAAGAATAAATAAAATCCCTTCTGTGATAGATATACTAAGTGAACAGAATGCTAATGTACCTCTGTAAACAGCAGCAGAATGGCCCAAGTACTTGGGCCCCTGGTATTCATGTAGGAAACCCAGATGATGGAGTTCTAGGCTTCTGCCCCAGCCCTGGTTGTTGCAGTCACCTGGGGAGTAAACAAGCAGATGTAAGATCTCTCTTCTCTCTCTTTCCCTGTCTCTCCTTTCTCTGTAACTCTGCCTTTCAAATAAATAAATAAGTCTTTAAAAGAAAAAAGTACTAGTTATCTTTGAATTCTACGATTCACAGATAAGTGGCTAAGAGTCATAGTTCACAAGATAAAACTGAATTTGAGACCTGGTTTCACCACTAACTACCTATATGACTTTGGGTTAAAGTTCTATAACCTTATTATATATTTGATGTTGTTATTATCATCATTATTACCATTGTTATTCTCAGACTGGAAGAACCTTATTGCTTGTCAATGATCTGATGAGAGAAATATATGCCAGTGTTTCTCTGAGACATTGTTCTCACACCTCTTCAGAAAACAGAACAAGTCTATTTTTTAAAAAGATTTATTTATTTGAAAGAGTTACAGAGAGAGGTAGACACAGATAGAGAGGTCTTCCAGCTGCTGGTTCACTCCCCAGATAACTGCAACAGCCAGAGCTGCACCGATACAAAGCCAGGAGCCAGGAGCCTCTTCCGGGTCTCCCACGTGGGTGCAGGGGCCCAAAGACTTGGGCCATCCTCTACTGCTATCCCAGGCCATAGCAGAGAGCTGGATCAGAAGAGGAGCAGCTGGGACTAGAACCAGCGCCCATATGGAATGCCAGCGCTGCAGGCCAGGGTTTTAACCTGCTGCGCCACAGCGCTGGGCCCACAAGTCTGTTATGAATGAGTCTTGTGTACCCTAGAGAAGAGAATGAGTCCACTGGAAAGGTTAAACATTGGTTTAGGTATTAATACTGCTGAAGCTTACCATTTACCTGGCCTGGTCTGGAAAAAACATCATTGAATGCATTTGATTTCAAGATTTTTTTTTCATATATATAATTGTTGAAATGCTACATATACTAGAAAGTTTCTGAAAAAGGTCTGCACTGTTCTGCTTTGCTTAGACTTAGGTGGTTTACAAATGAATGTGGCCCATGGCAAGAAGGAAATAGGCATGATACTTTTCTGCTCTCCCTCTTGAAATAAAGATATTTAATAAGGTACATAAAAGCTCATTATATTAAGTGAACTAAGCTAGGCACAGACAGATACTACATGATCTCACATACATGTGAAATGCAAAGAAGTTGAACTCATAGATGCATAGGGTACAGTGGTGATTATATGTGAGTAAAGAGGCAAAGAGAGAAGATTAGAAAGATGTTAGTCAAGGAGTAGGAAATTTCCATTACATAAGAGGAATAAGATCTATTGTACAACATGGTGACTATAGTTTATGAAAATGTAGCGTATTCGGGGCCGGCACCGTGGCTCACTTGGTTAATCCTCCACCTGCGGCGCTGGCATCCCAAATGGGCACCGTGTCCTAGTCCTGGTTGCTCCTCTTCCAGTCCAGCTCTCTGCTGTAGCCCAGGAAGGCAGTGGAGGATGGCCCAAGTGCTTGGGCCCCTGCACCCGCATGGGAGACCAGGAGGAAGCACCTGGCTCCTGGCTTTGGATAAGCGCAGCGCCGGCCGTAGTGGCCATTTGGGGGTGAACCAACGGAAGGAAGACCTTTCTCTCTGTCTCTCTCTGTCTATAACTCTAGCTGTCAAAAAAAAAAAAAAAAAGAAAAAAAAAAAAGAAAAAAGAAAATGTAGTGTATTATGAAATAGCTAAGAGAGTAGATTTTAAGTGTTCTCATCACACACAAAAAGCTAAGTATATGAGGTTATCAGCTTCCCACTAATGTGGACTCTGGGAGGGAATGATGATGGCTCAAGTGGTAGGGTTGCTACCCCCATAAGAAACCCAGATTTAATTCCTCACTTCAAGCTTAGCCCTCCTACCACAGCAGGCATTGCAGGGCCAGTGGATGGGAATTCTCTAACTTTCTCAAATAAATAAATAAAATTATTTTAAAAAATCAAAAAGGCATTTAACCTAGAAATTAAGATTCCCATGGCTCATCATGGAATGTGTGGTTTGAAACGCAGGTCCTCTTCTGTCTCCAGTGTCCTGCTGCTGTGGATGCTGGGAGGCACTGGTGATGGCTTAAATAATTTGGGTTCCTGCCACCTACTTGGAAGACTTTGATTGAGTTCCTAGCTCCTAGCTTCACCAGCTTCACTGGCTTCAGCCTCAAGCCCAGGAAAGTGAACTGGCCAGTACTTTGGAATAGAAGATAAAGCTGCCATTTGCAGTGCTGGCGTCCATATGGACGCCAGTTCAAGTCCCGGCTGCTATATTTCTGATCCAGCTCTCTGTTATGGCCTGAGAAAGCAGTAGAAGATGGTCCAAGTCCTTGGGCCCTTGCACCCACATGGGAGACTCAGAAGAAGCTCCTGGCTCCTGGCTTTGGATTGGCGCAGCTGAGCCAGGAGCTTCCTTCAGGTCTCCCATGTGGGTGCAGGGTCCTAAGCACTTGGGTTATCCTCTGCTGCTTGAACCGGCACCCATACGGGATGCCAGTGTCACAGGAGGCTTTACTTACTATGTTACAATGCTAGCCCCTCATGAGCTGATTTTAAAGATTCTGTGCTTTTAACATTAAAAAAAAGCCACTTTCCCAGTAAAGCTTTGTCCTTTATAATTATTTTGTTTTTCTTGTTCAGGACTTTATTTTCTTCAAATTGTATCCATTTTTTCCTTAAAATTGTAATTTTTTACATTATTTTGATACCAGTAAAGCATTAGTTGTGTTCCATTTGTCCATCATTTTCTTTTAATTTAGTTGAAAGAGAGAGGGAGAAAGTGAGATCTTCCATCTGCTGGTTTACTTCTCAAAGGCCCACAATAGCCAAGACTGGTCCAAGTGGAAGCCAGGAACCAGGACTCAATCCAGGTCTCCCATGTGGGTAGCAGAGACTCAAGTACTTGAGCCATTACCTGCTGCCTCCCAGGGTGTAAGTTAGCAGAAAGCTTAAATAGAATATGGAGCTGGAACTTGAATCCAGGCACTCTGATGTAGGATGTAGGTGTCCCAGGCAGTGATTTAACTGCTGCACCAAAGGCTTGCTTCACATTAGTCCATAATTTTCCATCCTGAAATTTACCCTTCTCATTTTTTTATATTGAATAGCATTCCATGATCTACTTAAGTCTCCAAAACCCACTGCAAATAACTAGACTTTTGATACCTGGGGTACAGCCACATTGTTGTGTCACTACAGCCATTACCATCTGTTGTATGCAGTGGTGGCATTGCTCAGCTAGTAGGACATTCACTTTGTTTTTCCAGCTGCAGATATGGGTTTGTAGTGATCCACTCATATTTTTTCATCCATCCTGCTATGACCAATGACATACTAACTCTAGACTTTGTTATGTGTAATTAAGACTAAATATGTCTGTGGAGTTGTTTAGAAAATTACCCTTGCTCAGTCTGTCCCTGGTTATAAGTCTGTCTCCACATCAGACTGTTTGAGTCCTTTTGAGAGTAGAGATCACTGCTTTTGGTTATCTTTATATCTCTAGCTTCTGTATTCATATTGTGCACACCACTATTATGCTCTTTGTGAACATCACCATAGCTTTAACTTTAGTCTTGGGTGCTATGCTAAGGACTTGACTTGGATTTTCTCACTGAATTTCTGCTAACAACCGTATGAAGTAAGTAATATGATTAACCTTTTACTGATGAAGAAACAAGTTTAGAGAGGTTCAGTAATTGATCTAGGGACTGGTGTTTTGGCATAATAGGTAAGGCTGCTGCCTGTGGTGCTGATATCCATATGGGTACCAGTTTATGTCCCAGCTGTCCTACTTCCAATCCAGCTCCCTATTGATGGCATAGGAAAGGCAGCAGAAGATGGCCCAAGTGCTTGCGTCCCTGTCTTTCAGGTTGGAGACCCAGATGAAGCTCTTGGCTTCATCCTGGCCCAGCCCTGGCTGTTGCAGCCATCTGAAAGTGAACCAACAGATGGAAGATCTCTCTCTCTCTCTCTCTCTCTCTCTCTCTCTCTCTCTCTCTCTCCCCTTCATTCTCTGACTTTCAAATAAATAAAATCTTAAAAAAAAAATTCAGCCTAAGAACAAGAAACTCAATTTTAAAAAACCTGTCTGAATGAAGGCAATTCATATTAGATGCAAATTCATTGTTCATCTTTTTTGCCTCATATTCAGAATTACTGAGTTTACCAGGCTCAAAAACTATAGGCAGTATGAAATTATACATTATGCTTGGTTGTACCAGAATTCGTAGTCTTATTTACAGGAGTTGCTCAGAATTAATGCAGGTTAGCATTCATAAAGGTATTCCTTCATTTATAATAGGTCTTTTTTTTTGCTAATTTAATTTTACTTATTTGAAAGGCAAAATTACAGAGAGAAGGAAGGAGAGCAAGATCTTCTATCCACTGGCTTACTCCCCCAATGGTCACAATAGCCAGAGCTGGACCAGGCCAAAACCAGGAGCCAAGAGTTTCATCCATGTCTCCCACATAGGTGCCAAGGTGCCCAAGGACATGGGTTGTATTTTGCTGCTTTCCCAAGCACATTAGCAGAGAGCTGAATCAGAAGTGGAGTAGCCAGAACCAACACCCATTTGGGATGCTGGTGTCATTGTAAGTGGCAGCTTCACCCTTCTGTACCACAACACTGGCTCCAAGAGGTCTTTATTCTAAGGTTAATTTATGAATTAAGTGTTTTACATAAAATACTTGAATTATGAATTGGTTCCAAGGCAGTGTATCCAAAGGACTTAAAAAGTAATGAACTATTATTCTCCCAAAGAGAAGTTACCTACAGAAATTCTGACCTATGTGAACATATAGAAGTTTATTAATATTCTCACTATTTAATTTAGCTATACACATACATTTAAAATCACTTATCTAATTCTTCCTGCTCATCTGTGATAATTAAATTGCTGAAACTTAAGTCACTTTTGAGTCATACCTGTGATATGACTGTGAGAAGGCTCTAGAATGGGAAGCAGGTATAAATGAGTTGCCTGGTATGGCCCAAACAAAAGTGTTCTCCCTTCTCTTCTGAAAAAAGGGG